AATTTTGATGAATCAAAAATAAATTAATGCTAAATTTGAAAAACTAAAAACGTGTTCAAACCGAGTAATATTATCCCATATATTTCTTTGTTTATGTAAAAAAAATATAAATATATACATTACAAAAGTAATTTGTCAAAAAGTATTTTTCTTATGCAAGCTAATATTTGTGGATGAAAGCTAATATTGACACAAGCTGATAATGACACTACTTTGTTCCAGCCTGGGAAAGGCAAGCCTACTATAAAGGAAGATCCTTTTTTCGCATTACATCATTTTTCTTTCATTTATTTCATTAATTTTTCAACTGACTCACGTTTGAGACTTACTTTAAAGTACAGTGTGTATCGGATATTCACTAAAGATGATTAAAAAATATATTAAAAGAACTTTAGTTTTTATAAAAAGGATCGATATTTTGTTAATTTCTCGTGGTGTTATAAAAATATAATTTTAGTTAAAAGATCATAAATAAAAATTTATTTTACTATATTGTTATAGAAAACAACATATCAACTATTATTAAGAAAGAAAATAAAGTGGAAGAAAACATTTATGACTGTTATCTGTTTCAATAAATCATCTATAGTAATCAGGGACGGATTTATGTTATGTAGAGTAAGGGTACTTGTCCTACTACTATTTTATATATATATATTTTATTAAAAAAATAATATATTTAAAAATAAAAGTTATATTTTAATATATATATATATATAAATTATCCTATATATAAAATATAAATTTGGATAAGGTGTTTATTTATTTGATATTTGTCAAACTTTCGAAGGAGATTAATTCTCATATGTGATAAAAAATACTTCTTAATAATGAATAACTTTTTTTTTTAATTTTAATTATAATTATATATATATATATTAATGCTCACATATATAATATAATATATTAAAAAAATATTTTTTGATAAAATAAAATTTGCAACATGTATGATTACTTTTTATGCTTTCAATTTATTATATATGTTGATTAAAAAGATCAAAATAGTAAAGATAGTGAGATTGTATATGTTGATTAAAAAAATCAAATTAGAAAATATTAAAAATTTATGTTCTATTTAGAATTTTTATTATAAAATATGTTTTAAAATAAATTATCATCTAAAAATTTATATCATATGTTAAAAACATGTTTATATCATAAATAAATCAAACTTGATTTTTATAAGATTTAACATATTTATTTTTATATTTTTATTAGTGTTAAATTATTATAAAGTAGGTCTTTAAGATTGTAGTTCTAACCAAACATTTAAAAAATGTCTATGATAGATAAATAAGTCATATTTAGGACATGTATTTTTAAAGAAAATTAGGTTAAAACCTATTAAATTATAATATAACCTAGTTTAACCTAATTTATTTTCATCCTTAATCATAATAATGGATATAAAAACTTGTAAAAAATAATTATGATATAAATTTATACTTTTAAAATTTACATGTAAAATTTTAATATTACAAATATGTAAATAAGTTTTGCCCCCACTATCTAAAGTTTCTGTATCCGTTACTATATATATATGTGTTATCAATTAGTAAATTAATTAAAATAAAAAAATATTATTGTAATACTAATTATAATGTTTAAGTCATAATTGATTATTGTAAATAAATATTTCATAAAAATAATGACTTTAGTTATTTTAATTATATAACTAATTCGATAATTTTTTTAAAAAATATTATATTTGAATAATAATTCCTAAAATTTATCTCCTTAAATATATGCACTCAAATTTATAATATAAAAAATAGATAATTGTAAGAGTTTCTTAATATTATTTCATATATATATGAAAGAAATAAGAACCGAATGAGTAATTAAATAAAAAAATAAAAAATATTTTATAGACAATTACTTTATATACGGTATGATTAATTGAAATTTACTTCTATTTAAAAACAATTATATTCGAAATCGAATGAAGTATATATAAAGCCAACATCATATGAATGAAAGTTGAGATAAGTGTCATTAACACATGAAAACCTTTATTGGGAAACCTTTAAATCACCTTTCTAGTCTTTTAATTTATAAAATTTTAGAAATTAAAAATTTAAAAAATACCGTATATAGGGGTAGAGAAAACAACTGAATTGAAATCAGTTGAATATTGATTGATTTGTGATTTTCAATGTCATTGATAGTTGTATTTAAATGAAGAGCGCACTACTTATAACATTTTTTTTTACAAAATTTAATACTTTTTTTATTTTTTTTATAGTTATTTTGTCAGATTTTATTATTTTTTTTATTGTCACTTTTTTAAAATTAATAATTTATTAATTTTGTTTTTCATTTTTACTTTTGATAATTAATACATGTTTATTAAAAAATGTATTTATTTATTTTTTAATATATTTTTTTTAACTACTTAAAAAGTATAACAGAAAAATATGTAATAAATACTTTAAAAAATTAAAATATCAATTATTGTCTAATTATTGTGTGTAATCTTAAAAACAATGAAAAAATAGAGAGAGTACGGTTGTTAGTGTCGGAAACAACACAACAAAGGAGTACATATGATAACATAGGATCAGGATCTTCTGCAATTTAAGTTAAACAGCATGAATCTTGACCATGTATATATACTTTACTTAGATAAAATATTAATAATTAAATAAAAATGTGTAGTAGAAGATTTAACTGCATTGGGTGTATTTTCTTTTGTCAATGGTAGATGATCCCTATCTCACAATATAGTTAAAAATTACTAGTTGAATGTGTAAAAAGAATGTTAACTTTTTTTTTAATTTTAATATCATCTATATCTTTACATGATATAATTCTATTTCAGTCAGATAAAAAAAAATCTAATAAGTTAATAAGATTACCATTTAACTATTTAATATATTATATATCTAAAAATCAAATTTAAAATTATTGATCAGGTCAAATTAATCTTTTATTGGTTGGTATGGATGTGAGAGAAATTTATGTTTTTTTTTCTCTAAAGATTACATATATTATTTATTATAGACAATCTTGTTTGAATATAATAAAATTATTATAAAAAAAACTTTTTCTTTAAATATTTAATAGGAATGGCAAATATATCCATACTTGCGGGTAATATCTGAACTCATCTTGACTTTGACGGGGAATACCCAGTTTGATTGGGTACGGGTACAGGTACGGGTATGAGGAATACCCGATTAAATCGGGGTACGGGACCCGTACTCGTTCCCGTTCTCATTTTTAATTTAATACTCACTTTTAATTTAATTATATTAAAGAATTTTAATATTTTTTATGTGTGATTATTTATTATAATATGAGATAGAGAAATAACCTAATTATAATTATAATATAATAAAAAAATATTTAAAAATATCATATATTTTTTACAAAAAATAAAAAATAAAAAGTTTGACAGATACGGGTACATGTACGAGTACAGGTATACCCGATACCCGACAGGAACGGGGATGAGGATGAAAATTATATATCCGACGAGTACAGATACGGGTACGGGAACGAATATCATGAAACCCATACCTGACCCGCCCCGTGCCATCCCTAATATCCAACGCATTTGTATGTTTAAAATTCAAATTCAAAACTTCTAATTAAATTATAATAACTTCATACTAAGTGATATATGCACCTAGTGGATGATTGTGAGAGGAATAACAGCTGCTTAGCTAGTAAAGCTATTTTTTTCCCCTTTAATTATGTTTTTAGTGTTTTAGGTGCCAACATGTCATTCCACCAACCCATCCACAAATGAGGTTGACTGCATTTTTGTGTCATATACATTGAACAAACCAAGTATCTAAACTTGAGTATATATCCTCTCCCAGTTGAAAATTTTCAAAAGGAAAAACATACACGTAAAGTGATTGAATGGTTTAAAAACAATTTAACATTTAACCCCACCTTGTGTGTATCTCTTGCACAGAAAATTTTCAATATTAACAATGATCCACACTCTCTTAGATCATTTTTCATAGACTTGTGATGGGACAAGCTAAGATAGATTGAATTGATTTTTTTTTATTTATAATTATTTTTCTATTAAATCAGACTTTTTATCTTCTTATCCACGTTGAATTATAATTTTAGTTTCATATTTTAATGTAGAAACATTTAGTTATTCTACTTTTAAAAATATATAACTTTAGTTTTATTATTAATTTGACATCTATTGACTATTAAGTTTAAACATTGATTAATGTCTCTTCACTATTTAAATGATGTGAAAAATATTATTAGTTTATTTATTTATTATTAAATTAAATAATAAATAGCAGCATTAAAAGTAAAAAAAAATATTTTGATAAATAAAGTTATTTAATAACAGTAATAGAATAATTTTATTTAATAATGTCATTAAAATACATTTATTATTTTTTTGTGTGACAAAAATCATGATGTTATTAAAGTAAAATAAAATAAATAATGTTATTAAAATAATTATTTTACTTTATTTTTAATAATTTTTTAATTAATTAATTAAATAAAAAATTTATTTTATATTAAATAATATTTTTCATGTCATTAATCAATATCTAAGTTTAATGGTTAACAAGTGTCAAATTAATGATATAATCAAAATTACATATTTTTAAAATTAAAAACTTAAATATCTCTATTTAAAAAAAATATTAAAGTTATATATTAACAGACTAAAAATACAATTTAACATTCTCCTTTATAAATTAAAGTCCCAAACAAATTCAATAAAAAACAGAGTAAGGTTGATAACAATATTTCCTTTTAGTGAACAAATTAGATGTACATAATATTTTAAAATTATTTTGTATTTTAAGAAAACTTGAATTTAAAAAATGTTTGATATTATTTTAAAATTAAAGATAGAAATGGATAATGTAATTAAGTTGAAATTAAATATAAATAAAAAAAGCATGATTAACGGGTTGCATATGCGTTTGTGGCCAGAGAAATGGTGACCTTGCTCTGGTGACTTGGCTCAGCTCTCATCTCATCTCATGTCATGACGTTTGGTGGTACTTTAGTTTCTCTTCTCTTCCTACTTTTCTTTGCGTACTAATAATTTCATTCCATGCCCCCTTCCAAATCTATTTATTTCTTCATATTCACTCTATATATAACCCTCCATCAATATCAATATCAATATCAATATCAATATCAATATCAAACAACAACGCATTCTCTCCTTCTTCCAATTCCCAAATCTTCTGCCCTACTTTTTCTCCCCTTCTTCGATCCATGGACTCCGAAGATGATATGCTCGACGCCAACGACCTCGACTCCCTCGACGACGATTTCTACAGCGGCGATACCGACGCTGCTCCCATCGACTACTACACCGACTACGATGACGACGCCGATGATTACTTCGACGACGCCCACAGAATTGACTCTCGTCGCCCCGAGGTCTCTCTCTCGATTCAATGCCACAATGTTGCTTCTCTCAATCACTTCGATTATTCACATTTTCTTCTCTTTTTTATGTCGTGTTTAGTTGCGAGGATACGCCGTAGTTGAGAAATTACTTGCCAATCATTTTTGTCTTTGAGGTTATAAAATGTCAATTTCATGGAACTGTCGGACATCGGTTTGTTTAGTCTTTGTTGTGATTTCAGGAATTAAATGTCAAGTTTTATGGTTTGGTGTTCTTGTGACTAATGTGATGTTTTGTATTTTTGGATGCCGAATTGATCGATGCACCTAATTCCATGACTAAATATGGGAATTACGAGTATGAATGGTAATTTTAGGGACTAGTTCAGTGTTTTTTTTTTGTTCCATGGACATGGTCCAAGCAATGTCCACAACCAACCAATGACTAATTTGTGTTCGTCCAAAGTAGTTTCTGCCTCCTGTGTTTCCCGACAAACCTTCCAACTACTGAGTCAATAGGCTTGATTAGAGACTAGTTCAGTGTATTACTTGTTTGGTTATGGTGTGGCAGAAATGAGAAATATATGCGCAACTCATTGTCATAGCACTAATCATTTCTTGATAGATGAGTTATATATTGAGACCATAGGAGGTTGGTTTCATTGGATAGATGAGTTATTCAGCTTTTCAGTTTTTTCTTTCTTGGTTTTGCATGGGCTGAACGTGAGTCCTACATTTTGCAGTTCAGAAACTGTGTTGTTGCTGGTTGCACCATTTTTTGTTTCTGCAATCATATATCAGTTTCCCACTAATTTTTGGATATCTGTTTTGTTTTCAGCAAAATTTCACCATCTTGAAGGAATCCGATATACGACTAAGACAGGAAGATGACATCACTAGAGTAGCAACTGTTCTTTCTATATCAAGAGTTCTTGCAAGCATACTACTCCGTCACTACAATTGGTAAATTTAATTTTTTTTAAAACTTATTGGTTTTGCCCCATTTTTGTGTCTCTGTGTGACATTGGTCATACCATAAGAAGCATAAACACATTTACCAAATGCCGTATTGGCGTGTCCTGCATGTTTTGAATACAATACTTATCAGACATAGCTTGGACACACATCCAACCTCCCTCCATTGTGTCACAATTTTTGTTTGGACACCTCTATGACACAATTTGGACCTGAGCCAAGAGAGTGAATCAACACTTCTTCTTAGCTAAACATTTATCTAACACTCCTATTCTAAAAAAAATTTAAAAGTGAACTTATTTATAAATATTACAAGGCTCGTAACATCTGTTTTTATCTATTGTGAGTCTCATTTTCATAAGAATTACCAGTTGTTTTAATTTTTAAGAGATATTTGGTTCATCTTCTTAGGGTCATTATCTAATAAAAATTATAAAACTTAAATATATATTTGTCGTGTCTCCCCATGTCTTATACTTTGGACATTAGCCATGTCTGTGTCCATGTCATGTTCAATGTCCGTGTCGGAGTTGGTGCTTCATAGATCATACCTTCTTCTGTGTTTCAGAACTTTCATTTCTTGTGCTGCATTTGTATGAATTTTGTAAGATTTTCACTGCATTGTATGCTCATGTAAGAGATGAGTTGGTGTTGCAGGAGTGTCAGTAGAGTGCATGATGCATGGTTTGCTGATGAAGAACGAGTCCGAAAAGCAGTTGGTTTGTTGGAGAATCCAGTTGTCCAGCATACTGACACTACAGAGGTAGGATGAATAGTTGGGTTTTAAACTATGAGGCACATACATCTCCTGTTTGGTGTGTCAGTGTAGACATGTTTCTGCTTTCTAACACCAATATTGCCAATTATCGGACACTTATTAGACACTTTTCATTAGCGGTCCAATTAATAATTTGTTTTTGTTGTTTCAGACAATTGATCTGACACCTTTGTATGGATGGATACACATTACACATTAATGTAATTAGTATAAATGTTCCTTTTTTTTTTTAACTTTTAGAAAATCAGTTTAAAATAATATAAAAATATTAAAAAAAATAATGGCTCTCACTTTTATTTTTCAAGGCTCATTATCTTTTAAAAAATGTAGAACTTAGCAATTGGGTGTTTGAGAAGGTGATATACCTATTTTGAAAGAGTTTTCGTCTTTTTTTTTTTTTTTTTTTTTTTTTTTTTTTTTTTT